GAAAACAATCGTTAGGTCCAAATCATGTTTATGTTGCCCAGTCTTTATACAATCTTGGTTTGGTGTATTATGATACTGGAAAGTACGATGAAGCCACAGAGTTTTACGAAAAAGCTCTAGAAATTCGAAAACAATCGTTAGGACCAAATCATGTTAGAGTCGCTGCGTCTTTATACAATCTTGGTTTGGTGTATTATGATACTGGAAAGTACGATGAAGCCACAGAGTTTTACGAAAAAGCTCTAGAAATTCGAAAACAATCTTTAGGTCCAAATCATGTAGATGTTGCTGATTCTTTAAACAATCTTGGTTTGGTGTTTGAAAAAACTGGAAACTACGACAAAGCTATAGAGGTTCACGAAAAGCTCTGGAAATTCGAAACAATCGTTAGGTCCAAATCATGTTATGTTGCCCAGTCTTTACTTAACTTGGTGTTTGAAAAACTGGAAACTACGACAAGCTATAGAGGTTCACGAAAAAGCTCTAGCAATTCGAAAACAATCGTTAGGTCCAAATCATGTTTATGTTACTCAGTCTTTAAACAATCTTGGTATGGTGTTTGAAAAAACTGGAAACTACGACAAAGCTATAGAGGTTTACGAAAAAGCTCTAGAAATTCGAAAACAATCGTTAGGTCCAAATCATGTTGATGTTGCTGATTCTTTAATCAATCTTGGTAATGTGTATTATAATACTGGAAACTACGAAAAATCTATAGAAGTTCACGAAAAAGCTCTAGAAATTCGAAAACAATCGTTAGGTCCAAATCATGTTTATGTTGCCCAATCTTTAAACAATCTTGGTAATGTGTATTATAATACTGGAAACTACGACAAAGCCATAGAAGTTCACGAAAAAGCTCTGGAAATTCGAAAACAATCGTTAGGTCCAAATCATGTTTATGTTGCCCAGTCTTTATACAATGTTGGTTTGGTGTATTATGATACTGGAAAGTACGATGAAGCTACAGAGTTTTACGTAAAAGCTCTAGAAATTCGAAAACAATCGTTAGGTCCAAGTCATGTTGATGTTGCTGATTCTTTAAACAATCTTGGTTTGGTGTTTGAAAAAACTGGAAACTACGACAAAGCTATAGAGGTTCACGAAAAAGCTTTGGAAATTCGAAAACAATCGTTTGGTCCAAATCATGTTTATGTTGCCCAGTCTTTATACAATCTTGGTTTGGTGTATTATGATACTGGAATGTACGATGAAGCCACAGAGTTTTACGAAAAAGCTCTAGAAATTCGAAAACAATCGTTAGGTCCTAATCATGTTTATGTTGCCCAGTCTTTAAACAATCTTGGTTTGGTGTTTGAAAAAACTGGAAACTACGACAAAGCTATAGAGGTTCACGAAAAAGCTCTAGAAGTTCGAAAACAATCGTTAGGTCCAAATCATGTTTATGTTGCCCAGTCTTTATACAATCTTGGTTTGGTGTATTATGGTACTGGAAAGTACGATGAAGCCACAAAGTTTTACGAAAAAGCTCTAGAAATTCGAAAACGATCGTTAGGTCCAAATCATGTTGATGTCGCTGCATCTTTACACAATCTTGGTTTGGTCTTTGAAAAAACTGGAAAGTTCGACGAAGCTAAAGATGTTCACGAAAAAGCTCTGGAAATTCGAAAACTGAATGTGCCAGGTGAAGACCATACTCACGTCACTTCGTCTTTGAGCAAATTTCGTGTACAGCTGAGTTATGAGTCTCAAAAACTCAGAGAAATACAGTTCCAAAGTGTACTCATGTTTTCTGTCATCAAAATATTTTGGTAAGTTTGTAGGTATTATATACAACATAATGTTGGTGGCTCATTTGCTTTAATAATATTTTATTAAAGTGCAACTCCGGCCAAGTTTCACTCCATTTTTCTTTCGCCAAAAGAAAATATGTTTTTTAGAAACATTTTGGTGTATGTTTGAGCATTTTTGGTTTGTTATAAGTTGTTTAATTTTAATGCCTAATTTCGCCGCCGGATGCGAATTTTTACAAATTGATCGTGACGTCATAAGATGTTCCCACCTCGCTAGTTTATTATATATCTATAAACAAATTCCAGCACGGAGCATCAATAATATTAAATTTTTAGTCAAAAATGCGTTTTATTCCGCAAAATTTGGCAAAAGTATCAAAAAGATTACTATCAATACAAATATTGCTCAATAAATCTTTGGAGGACGCAATTTTGTCATAAAGTTCATCAACGAAGTTTGTTAACGCTGACAGCCATAATGAATATAAATAGTAATCAAATGTATTCTTCCGTTCTTGTAATAAATGTTGGACACTTTGATTGTTAAAATAAGCTTAAAAATGTGTAACTCTTGACGATAAAGCTTTCTGCATTGATGTCTCGACCACAGGTGTTGTTGTAACTTGTAATTGTCATAGAGTTGCTGAGAATATCGTAACTATTAACCATATTTATATACAGACGTTACTGAACTTAAAATATACTGGGAAAATATACTGTGACAAAGTCTTGCATCCGTCAAATCAATAGGTACATTAAAGGCTTCGGCATTAATATTAATGTCAAATTTAATTCATGTTTTCTGTGTCTAACTCCAACTATTTGAGATCCGTAGCTTATTGATGGCTTTTAATATGTTTCAGTCGGCTAAGAATACATACAAATTTCATAGTATAATACAAAAAAATTGGCCATAATGAATTTAAAGTCCTACATTTAAGGGGCTCATTGACATACAAATTGTTTAATGTGAGGACTGGGTTATTCATTTTGGTTGTAGATAAACAAAAGAGCCAAAGCAATAATTGAAACGCAGTTGGGATTCATATTTACATTAATCAACAAAAATAATAATTCAAAAATCTACCTATGAACCAAAAACATATACATAAAACCTCCTCTAAAGAACAGTGAGATGGAAACAAAACATTTTCATCAAACAAACATTGCTCAAGATGTATAACAGCTATAAACTCATTGTTAGTTGTAAGATTCAAATAAAACATTGCACCAATTTTGCGATAATAATATTCCATATACCTGGTGTCTATTTTAAAGTGACTCATAGAATTAAAGCATACATTTAAATATCATCTTATAATATATACGTATCAAAATTTAAACACACTTTGAGTCTTTGACATCGTAGAAAAATTTTTATTTTACCTAACCCAGTGTATTACCTTTTACAGCAAGAAAATATTATGTCATTTATACATGTCACAGATATTAAATTACAGAAGTGAAAGTAGAAATTTTATTACAAGTTAAAATTAGACCTATAATGTGCTGCGATCTAGTTTTATCAAGTTGCTTAATATAAAGCATAAATAAGTGATTTGAGCAATAAAGATATCAAAAGCTTGACAAAACATGTGTCTACATATTATCAAATCGTGGTCTGTATGAAATGTTTAACTGCTACTTTGCTACTAATAAATTATTGAAACTACATTGACATAGCGTGACTGACATTGATACCAAACATTATTATAGTAATTACAGTCATTATGTTTCCTGCAGGATGTTTCCCTAACTTTATAAAGGTGTTGCTTTGAGGTAGGAGTAAGCAAGCCACATATCGCTATAAAATTTCTATGTTTGACTGATCTTTCTTAATTGCCTCGACTCCGTAGGGAAAAGCAGCCTTCTCAACAATTTGAGTGATTCGGCAAGGATTCCATATACATTAAAGGAAAGAATCGTCAACGAGAAAGGAATTCAAACTTCGAAGTAGCTATTAATGAAGCAACCATTCATTTGCTCTGTTTAGGAACAAAATTCGTCGATTTTCTAAGCTTTTGGGTGCTTCCATATTCTTTAGGAAACTTTTGAATATATGTATATATATACTGTGTATGACGATAATGTATGACTAAAATAATTCAAGACTTTTCTTTTAAATCCATCAGTAATTAAACAACGACGCTAAAAACTGTGTTAATGTCTGTGTCTGCTTACAATTTTCGTTCTGTGACAGGTTGCATAAATTTGCATAAAGTTGTAATAGTTTGCTTGTCCTCAAAGCAGACAGTCAACAGCAACGCGGACTTTAGCAACTTTTTCTTAAAATTACTAAGATACTCGACAGAGATTGGCGACAACAGTTCGTTAAAACTTATCAATGTCTGAATTCATTACAACGCCCTTAATAACCGAGTGTGAGGTCTTTACGGAGAAATACCGGACTGAATTTATTTGTACTGACCGAGCCCCTTAAAGAGAGGTTGTGATAAAAACAGAGGTCCAAGATTTCTCAATAAAGACCGAGCAGGCGATGTTAATAAAAAGTCTATTAGCTATATGGTATTATTTGACCTGAATCAAAGCATACTTTTCTTTTTCCATTCTTGCTGTTTTGCAAGGACTGGCTTTCACTCCTCTAGTTTTTGCCAGCAGAAAATATATAGTTTGAAGTTGAGTTGTCTAGATAACAAAACCCACTTTTCAAGCGTTCTTTTTTAACTTACATTCATACTATGGTTTTTTGTTTTGTTTTTATTTTCGTTTTACAAAACATTTGCTGTTTGCTTCATGAAATTTTGGTTAAACACAAGACAATAGACACTCCGTATATAGTAAGCATTATTTAATCTAGATAAATAATGTTTACTACATACAGAGTGTCTATTGTCTTGTGTTTTACCAAAATAGTCTTTGGCAGTCGTATTTCATGAAGTTTGTTTATGTACATTTATTTGTAAAATTACGCCTGATGAAAGCTGGTTCATTACGTGAAAATAAATACTGCCCCCTCAATATTTCCAATTGTAAGGTCATTTTATTACTTGAAAATGTCAGTCGTGTAAAACAATGCGTAATATATATATATATATATATCTGAGATTTTGGAGCTAGTGGGCAAAACGAAATAAAATATATAGTTTTAAAAAGCTACTATCCAAAATTTTCCAATTTATTTGTGTTATTTCTTTCGAGCGCTAGCTGTAAATTCATTTTTTACTTGTTGTCAAACTACAAATACACAGCTTGTGTAGATAACGCTTTTTAAAATATTGTTCGTAGAAATCACAAGTGGTGATGATGCTAATGCTACAGATGTCGGAAATTCTCCTGGTGTTGAAAATACAAAACAAGGTATGCCTTTCAATTCTATTTTATTTTATATATATTGCATAACCTAAGCATATTTGTTTTATATTGTATCACAATTCAAGTCATTTGATTGGTATTTATGTGTTTTTATGAAGATTTATGTTATTTAATAATATGCATAATGTACGTATACAGTGTTACACTTTTGGACTCTAAACGTTCGTTTATTACGCATGTTCAATACTGTATCAATGACTTAAATTTTCCTTTTGCGAACGACAAATAATTTAAATGTACTGTGTACCGACGAGAGTGCTCAGCATAACTTGACAAGTCTTTGTTTAACTCAATAAATACTGCGTAACAGAAAAGTGGCGCCACTCTTTTTATAAAATGCTCAAAAGTTCCATTAAAGTTTCCATTGAAGAAAAAGGATTACAATAAATAGCCTAAAAGCTTTTAAAACAAATCTTGACATAATGTACACCATCTAGATCAGACCCTGCATTTTAGGAGTTTTCAGGTTAGAAGATCTGTTTTAAAAGTGCTCGTGTTTGATTACGTTAATTACTATATCCTTTGTTAGAGTACAGGAGATTAGTCGGAGTATAACTTTTTTCCAGATAGTAATTATGTTTTTTCCTCCTGGCTTACAGCATCGAAAGTTTTGAAACAATTAAAAATAATATAACCAACTCCAAGTTCTTATAAAAACTTACTTTAAATACAGTCTTCGATCAACCTTTACATTAACAAATGTTGGTAGATATATGACTTTTTTTTCATCACATACATTAGGAACAACGATTGGTAACATTTGCAGCTGGCTTAATCTGTTTTAAGCATGACAGTAAAATCTTGTCACTTCACAATTTGCACTTGAAGCACATTATCAGTCAACTAAAATTAAGATGAGACATGGGGTGATATGCAATCTATTTTTTTTAAAAAAGGTTTATTTGTATTCTGCTTGTTTAATCATAAAAACTTCTCAACAAACTATCCTTTGGATGTACTGTCATACTTCACGTTTGCACCACCATGCATACATTACCTAGCTTATGACATTGAAAATTATGCAAAGAACGGTTACCATCAAATAGACTTGCTCAATATACTTCAATAAATAAGAATTCCTTTTCATTGTAAGTAAAATACCTCAAAATCATATGGAAAATGGGCCATATTGACGATGTGAATTGTCAAAGTTCCACAATAAAGGCTATTTACAATTTTCATTATGACAAATGTAGCATTAAATTGCACATTTATGAAAAGATCTTCTAAATTATAAATTAAAACAAAATTACAAGTTTTTTTAACCTATCTTTGCTAAGTATGATTATACTGGTTAATCAGATTATACTTGAGATTAACTAGTATAATCATACTAGCATAACTAGCATAATCAGGTCTTGAGATTATACTAGTTAATCAGACCAGGCCACTTACGACTTAAGACACCCGATTGAGCAAGAATAACGCTGCTGCTTATATATCGCTTACAGAACTCAATGGCTGTATCATGTTTTCTTAAATTTTGTAGCACTGTCCACTAAATAGAGAGCCAAAACTATAACGTTTGGTTAGGTGGTGAAGGGGTGTTTAATAACGCTGTTGATGAAATATCGCTTACAGAACTTAATACCTGTATCATGTTTTCTCAGATATTTTGGAACTGACCATTGTATAGAGGACCGAAACTAGAACATTTGATGGGTGGGAGAGGGGGGTGTTCATATCTTCTATTGTGGTCAACCGATTTCTTGTGAAAGCCACCGTAGTCTACAATATACAAATATAGATAAACAAATAAATAGTCAGGCAGATGGATAGATATAAAATAGATTTGAAAATTTTTTGTGAAAGCATGGAAATGATTTGCTCACTTGCTCTCTTTAACTTTATTTATAAGAGATCTCTAAGGGAGCGTTATATTATACGAGAAAATTTTTCAAATTAGTAAAACGTGATTGTGGTAGCCAAAGACAATTGAAATGTTCTGCATCACTCATAAAATACAAAAAAGATGTTACAACATTTGAAGCTGAAAGTTCGATCATTTGCTTGATCGTTCGTGTTGCTTATCTTTTCAATTATTTTATACTTTTGTACTACAACCTCATGATTTCTTTCACATGTTTCTAAAACAGACAAGAATCTTATCGAAAAGGCTGAAAGATATGATAAGAATTTAAATCGCTTACTTTTTTTGTGGTGTTCAATATTTATTGAATTGCATGATTCCTTTTCTACCTGAGTAAAAATTTCATCAAAAAAGGAAGTTTTCTCGATAACGAAACCCCTGACGCAATAGACACATGACAGACAAATTGTTTCTTTTAAATAAATCATCATTAGCTTAATAAAATAATTGAAAACTGCAAAAACCATTTTCAATTTGGCAAAGGTAAAACAATACCAGCAATGTTGCACGAGAATAAGAAAACCAGGAGGTAGGGCTTGATTTTTTAGAAATAAAGATTCACTTTACCAAGGTGAATAAGAAAAACAGCACGTGTCAGATAATTTAGAGTTAAAGCATAAAATGCCTATAAAACGACAATTTTTGCAGCCTGTGTTATACTTTTATTGAAAAGAAATTTTAATATGACAACGGAATTTCTCTACTAGTTTATACGTATCTCTTTTCATTCTCAAGATATTGAAGTTTTTATTATGTTCGATTTATCTAACTTGTGACGTCACATTGCATAATGAGAACTAAAATTATTCGGTACATTTGCTAATATTTTACTTCAACTTTGCCGAGTTTCTTTCTTTGAGATGTGTTAATGATATAAGATACTGCCTACTATTATCAACGTAAAGTTGTCAGGAAAATGAAGTTTATTTAAAACATGGCAGCGACTCATTTTGCATGCAATATGATGTCACAAGTTAGATAAATTGGTAATAGCAAGGACTTCACTTGAGCATTTTTAGAATGAAAGAGTCATACATAAAAGGTTTTAGAAATCATTCATTTCAAAAGTCCTGGTCAATGTAAATATAATTTAACTAGCAAAGTTTTCGTTTCATTGGCACTTTAATGGTGTTCAAACAAAGTTTGAGAGAATAATTGTTGAGTTTTTGCTGCTGATCGAACTTTAATGTTCATATTCGTCATCAAACATAAGATAGTCTATCTAAAAGATGAGTGTCGAGAATGGAAAGAAAAATTATATGAAGCTATTTGTTATCTTCTGCTATAAAAAATTTTTAGACTCTAAAAAATATGCTCTCAAAATTTAACTTAATATTTTCGAAAAACGTAAGGTTATTTCCTTAAAAAAATATATAAAATTACTGCAGAAAGAAGTTTTTGTGATTAATTGTATGGTATAAGCTTAACCTCAAATGTTGCCAGATTTGATTGTACAATTAAAGAACTTATGATTTCTCTAATTGTTGTTAAGTTTTTTCAAAAATGTGCGGTAGCTAATAATATGCTTTCATGATTGGGAAAGTTTAAGGTATTTTGACGTATTAATTTCGTTTCTTTCACCCTTGAATGTAATATTTTATCTAATTTTTTTAGAATTGGTGTTGCAAGAGTGGAAATACATTGATGAATTAACGAAACATAGAGAATTGTTTTTAAAATTGATTGACTATGGACGCAATTCCAGTGTTGAGGTTAAAGTGGTAGGCAATGTACGAGTAATTTTCTCAAAAGAGTTTTGCATTGGCGAAGGAAGTGGTGCAACCCGTGTTTTTCTTGGACTAGGTAAGGATGGTTATGGTAAAGCAGTGAAACGAATACATCAAGATAGATACAAAGAGCTTGCGCTGCAGGAAAAGGAAATTTTAAATCAATTCAACGCAAAGAAATCGAAATATGTTGTGAATTATTCCTTCTTAGAAGAAGATATAGGAACGGAGTATGTCTATTTAATATTAGACTTATGTGAAGAATCCTTGGAGAGTTATGTGAAATCTTCTACTTTGGACGATCTTCAAAACGCTCTTCCCGAAATTCTCAGACAAATTTTGCAAGGATTAGCTGATCTTCATAGTGGCCCAAATCCTATTCTTCATCGAGACTTAAAGCCTACCAATGTTCTCCGAGACACACAAGGCAACTTTCTGTTAGCTGACTTTGGTATTAGTCGAATATTGAATAATGATTGTACGACTTATGAAAGCAAGCCTAACATGGGAACTGAGTATTGGATTGCTCCTGAATCATATTGTGAAGATAAAGATACAGTCGATAAAGGACGGTACAAGAAAGAGTCTGACGTATTTGTGAGTGTAGGAATATGACCATTTGCACGATATGCATGTATAAAGTCAATTTGTAACATTACATTATTAATCTTTTTAGAATGCAGGTATGGTAACTTATTATATTGCAACAAAAGGAAAACACCCGTTTGGAACTAAACGGCATAGATTAGACAATATGTTAAATGGACTTCCTGTTGGGTTGGACGAAATCAAGGATGAAGCACTGAAAGACCTTTTGTTGTGGATGTTAAACCGAGAACCCGAAGACAGGCCATCAGCCAACGAGGCGTTAACACATCCATTTCTTATGTCGGATGACGAAAAATTTGACTTATTATGTATAGTTGGAAATCTTCAACAGATTAAGACAAATGATTCCAAGTCAATTGTCGTTCAACAGTTGAATAGTGAATCCTCACATTGGAAAAGTAAAATAGACAGTGATATTTATGATTATTTTAGAACGGACGTGGTGACTGGAAAGATTTTTCGATATGACTCTTCATGGACAGAATGTTTAAGACTTATTCGAAATATTAACCAACATTGGTACGATCGACCACGGCCAAGACCACAACCAGAACCATTTTATAAGATTGGCGATCACAAGGCGTATATTCTCAAAAAGTTTCCCAATCTCCCTGTTCGAGTGCATGCTATTGTGAGGTCCAATGAAGAAGAATTGAAAAACAATCCAGATCTCAAGAACTTTTTCAATTTCACTGAAAAGAAACTACATCAAGAATAAACAGTTTTTAAACAGTAAAAACAGTTTGTGAAAAGGCAATTGAACAGGAAAGAGACCGAGTAAAATAAAATTTACTCAGATTGGAAAAGACAGATAATTTTTTTACGTATATGATTATTTTGATTGTTGGCTTTCATTGACAGATCGATTGATTGCGACCAGCACTAAAACCATCCATTTTATAAAGTCGATGATCCTAAGGAGTTCTTTTTGAAATCCCATTTCGGGTACGTGCGGCTGTCTGATGTAATGACGAATTGAAAAACAGCCCAGAACTTAAGAACTTTTTCAGTTTTTAATGAAAGCGAACCACAATGAAAAGCTTACTGACAGGAAAACAAGTAACAAATCAACGATACGGTAGTTAAAGGATTTATTTTATAGATGTAAAGTAGCAAAACACTTTTCACGACGTATTTGGATGATGCATAATCACATTTCTGCATCTAGCTTACATTATTGAATGATATAATATCTGATTATTTAAATTTTATTCTCAATTGCTTTTGTTGAAGACGTATGAAATTTAAAGTCAACTTTATAAAATACATAATAAAACTCTTATACGATAGTAAATGGTATTTCTGGAGTTACAATATTACCAAGATCCCGTTTATTGAAGTATTAAAAGGCAGTGATAATGGTTAATGCCAGAAGCACAATTAAATGGACTTAAAATCTGAATTTAATAAACATTAATTATCTGAAGAGACTGAACTAAGTTGTTTAAAATGCAGTAGCTTTTGAACGTACGTCACTTTCCAGTTCTCCGTGGTTTCTTTATGTTCTGTATTTAAAAAGTATGTCTTTATATCCTACAGACTGAATTGTTAAGAATGAAGAATGAAACTATTTCCCATGAATAACATAATATACCTGGGTTGACTCTTGACATAATTTCCTTCTCTCTGGCCTCCCACTGACAAATAATTTCAGGATTGTACGTCACTAACAAACAAAATAAATACGTATATAACTATATATGCTACAGGTTTTGTATTTTCCCGTACAATAAAAAAATCTCGTTTTTAGTAGGGTAGTTCGTAAAAACGAGTAGGCTATTTTGAATTACAATCAATACTAATAAATCTTTATCTTTTCACAACAGATTTTAAATTCGATGAAGAAGCCTTTACTAAATAATGAAATATTTTCCTTGGATGCAAATTGAGTTGAGAGTTTGATTAGACAAAAAGAAATCTTAAATACTTTTCGGCCACAGAAAACATAAAAAATTTCTAACCTACCAGAACTACTTACTAGGTAGTTCGCTAAATAAATCCTTCATTTTTTGTTGCCCTTTACTTTTAAGTTCTAGACATTTTTTAAATTTCGACGTTAATGATTTTCCTGAAACAAATCACATACAAAAAATTAAAACAATTAAGGCGCAACAAACAAATAAAAACATATTCATTGTGTCAACACATAGTTACACATAGAGCAATGATAATGTTCAAGCATCTGCATTGCTAAAATTTCCTCGAGATAAGTGAAGAAGCGCGCGTCTGTCAAAAGATCTACTCTTCTAATGGCAGACATCTCCTTAGTAATTGCTGAGAACCCACGAAGGTAAGCCCAGAGCCTTTCAATAGCCTCACCATCTGTAAGACCAAAACCATCGAGCCTTCTAGGACTGAACTTAACCTGTTTTTTTGAAGACATTAAAAAATAATATTTTACCTATGGGGGCTTTTTATCAAGGAAGAAACCAGAGCAAAAAAGGTTGTCTATCTTCAATAGCTACATCATTACCCAGGGATGTATTTTTCTGGAGGGAGGGGGTGCTCTAGTTTGGATATAATTCTAGTGGCTGCTTGAGTAGTATAGAGACTACCGGTTCTGGCGCACCTCACACCTTGAGACCTAGTATACGCAAATTTAAGCGCCCAAGCCTTAGTTCGTGTACGTATTTACTATGTATGTCTTTCAGACATACATAGTAAGCACATAGTGTAATTAATGCACGCCGAAGATCTGATGCCCGTGACTGCGCTGCATATCCATACCTGAAGCTGAAGCGCTTTGTTTCGAAGAGCGCCACTTTGTACTGGGCATGACTGATATGCTTTTTCACGACGGCCACCTCGGCGAGGACCAAGCTAAACTGCCTTCGTGCTCGGGCCTCTTTTCTACGAAGGCGAGCTTTTCCGGCTTGTTGACCATTTTCTGCGCATCGTTGCTCCTCTGCCTGCGTGCTGATACCATAACCCCGACATGGGACGGCACCGGCGAGCTACGCCGGATTTGTTGCAGATGCACTCCGCAATACTTCCCCATACATGACTTTCCACAGGGTTCTCTAGTGTGGACGTTCACCCACGCGCACTTGTTCTTGTCCTGCCTCATGGCAGTCGAACGTTTGGATATACGCTTTGAATTGTCTTTCTTCAAATGACCGACGGCCGGCCCCATGGGCGCGGGGGGTGGGCCGGCCGTCTTTGGCTCCCTGGTTTGGCTTTTGCCATCCGGTGCGATGCTAGCATAATTACACTATGTGCTTTTATCGTACGCAAAATACTTATCGTACGCGAACTAGGGCTGGGGCGCTAAAATTTACGTGTACTAGGTCTCAAGGTGTGAGGTGCGATAGAACCGGTAGTCTCTATACTACTGCTTGTTGCCGTAACTTGCCAGACATTTTTCGTTAAATTTTGTTACTTATATACAATAATAGGAGATTTTTGAAATTGTGCTTTATAAGCCCCAATTACGATCAAGCGATCGTAATTGGGGCTTATAAATGGTTTGGTATGCCTAAATTTCTTAGAGAAACTGCCACTTATCATCTAACTCCACTAATCAAGGTTGGAAGAAAGAAAATTCCTCCGCTATCCCGCCTCTTAATCCATCCCTGTCATTACCAGGTACAAAGCTTTATTCATTACCTGGCATGAAGCCTTGTGTCCATAACAATGAAATATCGGCATGAAAATTGACACTTTTGACAATATGTCATGCCTCTTGTTTGCCTAAAACGGTACCAATTTATTCAAAGTTTAGTTGGTGAATGAACTTGTCCCACATCATACATGCCAATGATAAAATACCTTTAAATATGATGATAATACACATCCAATATCATACATTATTTTTAAATCAACACCAGGACTTTGGTCAGCATCTTTTAAAATTTTTTGGATTAGGAACAGCGAATACGAAATTCTGAATATTAATAGTAAGAGACTAAATATTATTAAAGGGTAACAATAGATCTCGTTAGAACAAAATCGTTTTGTCCTCTGTCCCTTTATTTCAAAATTGACACAGGAAAAGAAATTATAACACGACGATTTGTTCCCCCATACTACCTCATCAAAGATCAAAAATATTGATAATTACGTGCAAACCAAGGCTAAGATACTAACCTTTACCCATATTTAGTGCTGAAAAACCGTCCAGGGTGTGAATGCCGACTGCAACAAGTAGCTACCAAACACTTCTTTTTCATCAAACAGTTGATTTTCTCCTTTGGAGTGAAGTTCTTCTGTAACTTTTCCTGCCTTAAATATCTGACAACTCTAAAAGAAGTTGGAGCACATTATAGATTAGCGAATACATACAGTACCGACCTCGAGTAACATGACTTGACTCGCGAGTATCGAATGGCGAATAGGCGAGTGACTCGCGAGTCAATTGCAAGTCACTCTTGAGCGTTTGCGAGTGGATAAAATAATTCGCTGTTTCAGAGTTAATCGAAATAACTCGCAAAAATTTCTTGCATTCTGCATTCTTTCATACGATTAAATATGTCCATAATCTAAGACTGTCAGAAGAAAATGTTTGACCGCAATTTCGATTTACTCATTTTTTGAGTGCCATTTACTTTACATTTCTCTATGATCTGTACCACTTTACGAATAACGTTTGTGCCATGAAAAATGTGAAGTTATTAAAATGCTTTTGAATAAAAAATTCAAAAGATTATAACGTCTGGGCCCATGAACCTTCATGAAGCATAGACCCACTTTTCTCAGGGGCGAAGCCTGCCCAATCTTTTACTCTTACAATGCAAATTTGTCAGCAAAATTGTTAATAATTTCTTTAGAAAATCGAATCCATTCATTGTTTTTCCAGTGAATGAATACAAAAATATTTGCAATGCAAAAGTAAAAAAGTGCTGGCTTCGCCATTGCTTTTCCATGGACTACATATAAAGTTTGTTTTCAAACTATTCACCCCTACACAGAATACTTTTGAATAGGCTACAAAGTCCTTCATGATGCAATAATTACCTCTCCTACTTTGTTATTAGACTTGCTATAATGATCAACAAAATCATCTACTTCATCCTGATTAGCAAACTTAAGGCAGCCATGGTTTGGGACGGCAAAACTATTCCCTGCCAACTTTTTACGAGTTAGACCAAAGCAAGCATCTATGGAATAAATGGTCACACCTAACTCACCAGTCTAAAGCAAACAGAGCTCTTTAGTGAAATGAAATGAATTTTATGGTAAACATGTAACACTTCATATTTCACAACAACTTTAAATGTTCTGATAATATATGTGACAACAAATATATATTTTAAAATAGTTCACAAAGCAAATAGTAGAAAAAAAAATCAAATACTGACTTGCGTGCAAAGAGGGCAATCTCTATAATCAATCAGGTCTTTCTGTTTGAACTTTAATGACCCTGTACTAAGCAGATACTGTGTAAAATCCAAAATTTAATCTCATATAGCTAATAATAATGAAAGTATAATGATGAAACCTCAATCAAGGTGACGTTTTCATTAAGCTGACACTAGTCTGTTGTCCATTGGTGTGTACTTAAAACAGGTTAGACAGTACTACTCTACACATATAATCTAACTATTAGGTCTACAATAACTGTAAATAGACTTTTGTTTTATTACATATATAACATACCTGTATTTATCGAATGATCCATTGATTAACACATTATATATGTTTTTGACCTTAACAAGAACAAAATGAACACCTAGTTAACTTGTGCATTTGTTTCAAAAATAAAATAAGGTTGAATACACAATGTCATAACAGCAAAGGAAACTTCATGTACAATTTGAATGTGCTCTTACCTTATTTGAGGCAAATACACATTATTTATGTTGTTTGTAAATAACAGTGATTCAATAAAATTTTTTGCAAAGTACAACCCATCTATTTCCACTATTTGATGGGTAGACTATCACATGGGTACACAATTCAGGTTTATGAGAAATACATAGCAGTCTAGGTAGCATTTCAGGATATTCAACTTCAACAGTGCTGCAAAATTTGTGCAAGGATACATGGCTCTCGAGCAAGAATTTTTCAGCAAAATCCATGAAGTCAAAATGAAATGCAATTTTGGGTTTAGAATATGAGCTTGGCCACAGCTGGAGTTTAGTTAGTTTTTCAGCATCCTTAATACACTGACAGAATTAGACAATTTTTATATGCTGCCGACTTAAAATTTGTATGAGATTAAAAATTGGATTATTTGATATGCAAATAATTAACATAGAAATTATTGGCTTAAATGAAGCTAATACTTAACAGTGTGACTAACATATACACATTTACATGTAGTCAAAGTCAAAATACTGTCATTGTTGCCATACTGTACCTTTTCCATCCACACATATTATAGTATGTGATTCTGTTGAAGAACAGTTACCATGCTGACTGTCACGTAATATACCACCATAAAGTAATGGAACAAACATTTCACAATCAGTCTAAAGAGTAGTTATTTAAGCATCAGAACATGTATACATTACATAAGGCACCATGCACAGCATATAGCAGCATATCGTTCTTGAAAATGATTGATAGTTTTAACAAAATACTACAGATTAAGTTACTTTAGAGTTAAGACATGGTTGTAAAATATTGCCAGCATTTGATGAATACCGGTACTAGAGCTTAACAAGCCAAATTCCAAATGTAAAAAGCAAAAATATTTCATCTGAAGAATTGACTTTTGGAAATAATCACCTAGAATTGCCTTTTAATAGACGACTCAACTTGTTTATGTTTTGCTGGCAAGCAAATTTTATAGCGATTTATCTGTGCCGCCAGAAAGAATTATACTTACCTTCCATACTTCAACCAAATGGAAAACATTCCTCGTTCGATGAAGGGATTCCGCACACTCAAAACAGTAGAACTGTCCGTGACCGCAATCACGACATCTAATTTCTGCTTTTTTTGCTGGTATCCCATCTTCTACACATTTTACGCAGAGTTGTCCTGGTAACACTACTGTGAAGTTACCACCATTGAGTTCTATATGTCTATTATCCTGGCCCAAATTCCAGGAGCGAATCTAAAGCTTGAGAAAGGTAGAGCATTTTTGGTTAATTAATATGCATTTTGTCATGCAACATTATTTCACTAACGTCTAAAGACGCCGAATTTTGAACTAGTTAAGACGCTGCGATATACTCGTGTTTGGTATCAGCTTAAAGATCTTGTTCTAAGGATTACAAATATATTTTTATTATCCTGGCCCAAATTCGTGGAGCGAATGTACAGATTACTTGACAAATTTATAGCACTTTTGCATTAATTAATATCGCGGTATTTAACTGACATGTATATATACCTAATTTTGAACTAGTTAACACGCTGCAATATACTTGTGTTTGGTATGGTCTTAATGATCTTGTTTTTAGGATTACAAATATGTTTTTATTATCCTGGCCCAAATTCGTGGAGCAATTCTAAAGCTTATGAAAAATTTGCTTTTTTCGTTTAATTAATTTGTGCGTTATTTAAATGAGATGTAATTCTGATTGGAACAGGCTCTTTCAGATGATATCAAACACAAGTAAATTGTAGCGTGTTTACCGTATAAAAAGCGTACTATGTTGAATCCTGTGGTACCTTCCCAGTCGAGTTTTCATGGCTGTAGATTCGCTTCACGAAGTTGGGCCACAAAAGTAAAGATATATTTGAAATCCTTAGAAAACGTACTTTCGGATGTTATCAAACACAAGTATTTTCCAGCGTGTTTACTTCTTGAAAAGTAGGCCTTTTTAGATGTCAACATTTATGCATTGTAAACATCGCGCATAATAATTAACGTAAAGAGACAAAAGCGGAAGTAGTCTTTAAAAGGTTGTAGATTTGCTTCAAGACTTTGGACCAAAATAAAAATAGTATAATCGTTGTTTCAACAATTTGGTCTTTACAACGGCACCAAACACGTGTGTATTTTTTGTTTTTTTGTAGCAAAAAATACGGGTTTTTTATTTTGGTTCTGAAACTAATGTCATTTAATCTTGTTTAAGGTGAGCCTGGTGTCAACTTCAAACTTCTTGCTAATTTTGAATGTCAGGATGAGTGTCAGGATGAATCCTGTGGTACCCTCACAGTAGTAAGTAATTTGCACGTATCAACTGAAAGGACGCGACGATTTGACGCTTAACTTTTCACAACGTTAAGTGATTTAAAAGATCGATTGTTCAAAGTTTGGAGCCATCAACTAGTAAAAGGTTTGTAAGACTAAAGATAAAGAACGATCATGTCTGTTAACGATCTGTAAATGAGATCTTGAATAAAAATTGCTTGTCATATTTAATTGAAAAACTTTTGATAAATATTGGTCACACCCAAGTACTATAAAATATACATCATAGATAACCGTAGCACTTTGCAATCCTGCAATTGTACACCAATCAAACCAAATTACAAATGCAAATATATTAACTGCTTATCAAGAAAATTACTGCCATTCATCTAAAATATGGCGTGTTTATCATGATGTGTTTAATTGTAATTTAATTTATGTTTGTAAAAAGTGGTTTTTGTCTTTTAGCAATGTTATTATTTTGGAAATGTAGCTTTTTTCAAATGTTTATCAATAAACCATTTATACTAAAGATTTCAACAAGCACAATTTAGACGTTTATGACATATAATTGTGCAATGACATATTGTGTTATTCAACAACAGGCAAGAGTACCACAAATATAAAAATAAAAACTGACATATCGAGCTGTAGTTTTTTACCAATTGCTCCCAAAGTACCTCAAAAATGGTATAATGAGTATAATTTATGTTAGATTTAGAGGTTTTACCGAACATAGACAGAATCATAAAACAGTTTAACCCATAATGATTGAGAATATATTTTAACATAACATGTGCTCTTATATAAGGCGAACAATAAATAAGTACATTGGTCACGTGATTAATAATCTAGTTGAGAGCAATATGTGATGTCATTTCCTTTTAACAATTTATTCTTCTCATTTATTTATTTAGTATAATTTACACTTCTCATTTCTATTGATGAATTCGATCCAAATTTAAATCAAACTTATAAGGAAAAACGTTTATGAATGAGGAAGAAAATTTAGTTTGAAATTGAAAATGGACTCATGCATGCCATCATTGAATATTTTAAATATTTAGTTGTTTTTTTAAATATTTAGTTGTTTTGTAATGTTGCAATTATCTTTCGTCAAGCTGTTGACGCTAAGGTGATACATGAAAATTCATACCATTAAAGAAAAAAAACTGAAAGTCTTTGATTTCTGATTTGTAAAAACAGAGCTTTTGGAACACATAGTGGTGTACAGCAGAAATTCTAATATAATTCTGCTACGTTTGAGGCTCTTCTGTTAAAAATTAGACCGATTAACTAATTATAAACTAATTATTCAATTCGATTACAGCAATGAACGTTTTTGTATTCTGGTATGGAATTGTTTTGACTTGTGATTTTGATAAACTTAACTTTTGCTACCTTACGAATCAATTCAGATATCCAGAAACAGCTTGTAGTTAAATATACTTAAAACGATACAACCAAACATTAAACTTGATGCTAACAAATCTTTATAATTTCTACAAGACTACAACAAGATTTCTCTATCACCTTCCCTTCATTTATCAGAATATAATGAAATGTCACCTTATCCAACTGTGAGATTTACTTTCCCAACATTAGAGCAAACAAACACATATTTTTTCTACTTCAACTTAAGCAAGCAAAAGTTTTACAATCTGATATTGTGAATTTTTATACCACCTCATCTGTATAAGACCAATTTTTGAGTATGGAGCTGAAGTTTTCACCACTTACTCCCAATTATCTTGAAAACCGTAAAATTTAGTAAAATTTGTACTTCTCATTTCTATTGACCATTTTGATCCAAATTATATTCAATTTTATGAACATAGACTAGGGGTCTCCAAACTACGGCCCGCGGGCCAGATGCGGCCCGTTGCGCCTCTCAATCCGGCCCGCAGAGGCACTTAAAAAAAAAATTATTAAACAAAATAAACTTTGTGCAGAAAGTTCACGTTATGTCGCAAGCCAACTAGCAAGAGTGTCTTACGTCAATTTTCTCCCAACTTCCCACTTCCGTTTCAAGCACATTGCGAAATTTAAAAGGATAACGTGGAAATTTTTTATATTCTTCGGCCCTCAACATACTGGATGAAAGTTCATGTGGCCCTCTGGCTGTAAAGTTTGGAGACCCATGACATAGACCATAAAAATCATAAAACTATATCTTTGCTTTACATAACAATCTATTCTTAAGATGTTTTAAATTTCGTGGCGCAAAATATTTTTCCACGTATCGACTCGAAAGAAGAATATATGATTCTTAACTTGTCAGATTTTTAAATCTTTCTAAAAGTTCAACTGTTCAAGGCTACACGCCGTTAACCAGTAAAAGTTTTGTGAGACAAAAAACAAAGAATTTTCATGTTGATTACGACGTATAAATGTGATCTATGGAAGCTTGTAATTCTGTAATTGTAGATAAATCAAACGAAGTTACAATTCCAAACAAGAACACTATGCTTTCCAAAAACAAATCACTGTCATCTTAAACAAGGTAAGGCTTTTTTTAAAGCATATTTAATTATTTATGACTCACCACGAAGTACATTTTCTTTAAAATCGCGAATGGACACATACATGTCATCATTGAATAGTTTAGATATTTGAGTCGTTTTAGAAGTAGAAATATTGATCAACAAGTGTGTTTATCTTTGTCATAAACTATAGTATCCCTTGTTCAATTTAGCAAGTCCACATTTTAAATGGAGCTAAAGAACTTTACTTATCTTTGTGACATTGCAATTTTCTTTCGTCGATGCTAAGTTGTTGACGCTAATGTCGATGCTAAGTTCATCGAATTAAACAATACAAGTTAGGCAATCTGGAAATTACGAAGAAGCTATAGAGTTTCACGAAAAAGTTATGGAAAATCAAGAACAATCGTCAGGTCCAAATCATGTTGATGATGCTCAGTCTTGGAACAGTTTTGGTGATTTGTGTTATGAAAGTGGAAATTACGAAAAAGCTATAGAGTTTTACGAAAAAGCTCTGGAAATTCGAAAACAATCGTTAGGTCCAAATCATGTTGATGTTGCTGTTTCTTTAAACTATCTTGGGTTGGTTATTTATAAAACTGGAAACTACGACAAAGCAAAAGAGGTTCACGAAAAAGCTCTAGAAATTCAAAAGCAATCGTTAGGTCCAAATCATGTTGATGTTGCTCTTACTTTAAACAGTCTTGGTGTGGTGTTTTATAAAACTGGAAACTACGACAAAGCTATAGATGTTCACGAAAAAGCTCTAGAAATTCGAAAACAATCGTTAGGTCCAAATCATGTCGCTGTTGCTATGTCTTTAAACAATCTTGGTATGGTGTTTGAAAAAACTGGAAACTACGACAAAGCTATAGAATTTTACAAAAAAGCTCTAGAAATTCGAAAACAATCTTTTGGTCCAAATCATAGTGATGTCGCTGCTTCTTTATACAGTCTCAGTTTGCTTTATGATAAAACAGGAAAACACGACAAAGCTAAAAAAGTTTTTGAAGAATCTCTAGAAGTTCGAAAACTGAATGTGCCAGGTGAAGACCATACTGATGTCACTGAAGAAACTGAAAAATATGAGTCTGAGAAAACTCAGAGTATATTTCTAGTTCCAAGTCATGCTCATATTTCTCTGTCATCAAAATATTTTGGTAAGTTTGTAAGTATTATATACAACATAATGTTGGTGGTTCATTTGCGTTAATGATATTTTGTATTATCTTTCTTTCGATAAAGAAGAATATATTTTTTTAGAAACATTTTGGTGTATGTTTGAGCATTTTTGGTTTGGTATAAGTTGTTTAATTTTAACGCTAAATTTCGCCACCGGATGCGAATTTTAACAAATGGATCGTGACGTCATAAGATGTTCCCGCCTCGCTAGTTTATTATATTACTATAAACAAATGCCATAATGGAGCATCAATAATATTAAATTTTTAGTCAAAAATGCGTTTTATTCCGCAAAATTTGGCAAAAGTATCAAAAAGATAACTATCAATACAAATATTGGTTAAAACATCTTTGGAGGACGCAATTTTGTCATAAAGTTCATCAACGAAGTTTGTTGACGCTGACAGCCATAATGAATATAAATAGTAATCAAATGTATTCTTCCGTTCTTGTATTAAATGTTGGACACTTCGATTGTTTAAATAAGCTTGAAAATGTGTAACTTTTGACGATGAAGCTTTCTGCATTGATGTCTCGACCACAGGTGTTGTTGTAACTTGTAATTGTCACAGAGTTGCTGAGAATATCGTAACTATTAACCATATTCTATATACAGACATTACTGAACTGGAGAATCAGCTCTTTAGGAAAAATATTCTGGGATAAAGTCTTGCATCCGTTAAATCAATAGGTACATTAATGGCAAAGGCAAGAATATTAAAGTCAAATTTAATTCATGTTTTTGGTGTCTAACTCGAACTATTTGAGATCCGTAGCTTATTGATGGCTTTTAATATGTTTCAGTTGGCTAAGAATACATACAAATTTCATAATATAATACAAAAAAATTTAGCCATAATGAATTTAAAGTCTCAGATTTAAGTTGTTCATTGAGATACAAATTGTTTCATGTGAGGACTGGGTTATTCATTTTTGTTGTAGACAAACAAAAGAGCCAAAGCAATAATTGAAACGCAGTTGGGATTCATATTTACATTAATCAACAAAAAGAATAATTCAAAAATCTACCTATAAACTAAAAACATATACATAAAACCCGCTCTAAAGAACAGTGAGATGGAAACAAAACATTTTATTCAAACAAACATTGCTCAAGATATATAACATATACTATAAGATATATAACTATAAACTCATTGTTAGTTGTAAGATTCAAATACAACATTGCACCAATTTAGAGATAATAATATTCCATATACCTGGTGTCTATTTCAAAGTGACTCATAGAATTAAAGCATATATTGAAATATCGTCTTATAATATATACGTATCAAAATTTAAACACACTTTGAGTCTTTGATATCGTAGAAAAATTTTTATTTCACCAAACCCAGCTTTGTGAAAACTACGTATTCAAAAAATCATAGACTGACAAATTGACAAACATTGGAAATAAATCAAGATGATTTTAAAACAGATATATTTCAGCATGCTTATGCCATTTTCAGTGTATTACCTTTTACAGCAAGAAAATATTATGTTATTTATACATGTCACAGATATTAAATTACAGGAGTGAAAGTAGAAATTTATCAAGTTGCTTAATATAAAGCATAAATAAATGATTTGAGCAATAAAGATAGCAAAAGCTTGACAAAACATGTGTCTACATATTATCAAATCATGGTCTGTATGAAATGTTTAACTGCTATTTTGTTACTAATAAATTATTGAAACTACATTGACATAGCGTGACTGACAATGATACCAAACATTACTATAGCACTTCCAGTCATTATGTTTCCTGCAGGATGTTTCCCTAACTTTATAAAGGTGTTACAGATGATTTTTTCAATTCTTAGATCCCTTGCAATTCTTGTCTACTAATTCAAAAATATTATAGCGATCACTTCTTCTCGCTCATCTATTTTCCAGGAATACAGTTCAATTTCATTTCATAACTGACAAAAACTTACGACGACGAGTTGATTGTTTAATGAAAGTATAGCTCCTAGATTGAAGTAAACAAGCCACATATCGCGATAAAATTTCTGTGTTTGACCAAACTCTCTTAATTGCCTCGACTCCGTAGGGAAAAGCTGCCTTCTCAACAAATTGAGTGATTCGGCAAGGATTCCATATACATTAAAGGAAAGAATCGTCAACGAGAAATGAATTCGAACTTCGAAGTAGCTATTAATTAAGCAACCATTCATTTGCTCTGTTTAGGAACAAAATTCGTTGATTTTCTACGCTTTCGGGTGCTTGCAAATTCTTTAGGAAACTTTTGAATATATATATATATATATAAAATGAACTAAAATAAAATGGACAATTGTTTGCTGTCGCTACTCAGAGTTTCACGCAAATAAGTCTTCAGCAAGATCGCCCCACGGCGAGAAAACTTCTGATGTGACGACTAATTAATCCTTTATTTAGTTCATTATCTTACTCTTCTTATAATATATAGAATATTGAGCGCTCTTTTATCCAGGAATATTATCCATAATAATATATATATATATATATTGATGAGAAAAGAAAAAATACACAAAAACTACAATTTCATCCCGACAAGCCTGTTTCGTGATTTCTCCTCTTCAGGGGATAATATTAAATGAATACAAAGCATGTGCTAGATTATATATACAAGAGGAAGTTAGGTTAAAATGAGATGAATTACATAATATATTGAGTGTACGATTACAAATTACATAAAAGTGCTTTGTGTCTATGGCGACAAGAGGAGATAAGTTCGTTACGTTTGTTGAGTGATGATAGTTGTGGTTGGTAGGTGATGAAGAATTTTTCTTTCAGGCATAGGTTGCATCTTTTGTTGGCGCTGTTGTACGGTTTGCTGTGAGTAATGATGTTCCATGAGATATTGTGAGCGATGTTGTTGTCTTTTAGTGTCCATATGTGTTTGCTGAGTTCGGTGGAGTTTGTAATCGTACACTCAATATATTATGTAATTCTATCTCAATTTTTAACCTAACTTCCTCTTGTATATATAATCTAGCACATGCTTTGTATTCATTTAATATTATCCCCTGAAGAGTGAGAAATCACGAAACAGGCTTGTCGGGATGAAATTGTAGTTTTTGTGTATTTTCTTCTTCTCATCAATATTTACGCTCTGCTCTTAAGCATCGAGCACTGTACTTACGGAGATTCAAATAAACAAAACTTCCTATATATATATATATATATATACTGTGTATGACAATAATGTACGTAATGTACGATTAAAATAATTCCAGACTTTCTTTTAAATTCATCAGTAATTAAACAACAACGCTAAAAAATGTGTTAATGTCTGTGTCTGCTTACAATTTTCGTTCTTTGACAGGTTGCATAAATTTGCATAAAATTGTAATAGTTTCCTTGTCCTCAAAACAGACAGTCAACAGCAACGCGGACTTTAGCGACTTTTTCTTAAAATTACTAAGATACTCGATAGAGATTGGCGACAACAGTTCGTTAACACTTATCAATGTCTGAGCTCATTACAACGCCCTTAGTAGCCGAATGTGAGGTCTTTATGGAGAGATATCGGACTGAATTTATTTGTACTGACCGATACCCTTAGGGAGAGGTTTGTGATAAAAACAGAGGTCCAAGATTTCTTAATAAAGACCGAGCAGGCGAGGTTAGTAAAAAGTCAATTAGCTATATGGTATTATTTGACCTGAAACGAAGCTTTCTTTTCTTTTTCTATTCTTGCTGTTTTGCAAGGACTGACTGTCACTCCTCTAGTTTTTGCCAGCAGAAAATATATAGTTTGAAATTGTGTCGCCTAGATAATAAAACCCACTTTTCGAGTGTTCTTTTTTGACTTACATTCATACCATGGTTTTTTGTTTTGTTTAATTTTCGTTTTACAAAACATTTGCTGTTTGCTTCATGAAGTTTTAGTAAAACACAAGACAATAGACATTTCGTATTTAGTAAACATTATGTAATCTAGATAAATAATGTTTACTATATACAGAGTGTCCATTGTCTTGTATTTTACCAAAATACTCTTTGGCAGTCGTAATTCATGAAGTTTGTTTATCTACCTATATGTATTTGACATTTTGGAGCTAATGGGCAAAACGAAATGAAATATATAGTTTTAAATTGAAAGTTACTATCCAAAGTTAGTTTTAAAAGCTACTATCCAAAACTTTCCAATTTATTTGTTTTATTTCTTTTCGAGCGCTAGCTGTTAATTAAATTTTTTTACTTGTTGTCAAAATCGAAATGCACATCTTGTGTGGATAACGCTTTTAAAATATTGTTCACAGGACTCACAAGTGGTGATGATGGTAATGCTAAAGATGTCGGAAATTCTCCTGTTGTTGAAATTACAAAACAAGGTATACCCCTCAATTCTATTTTATTTTATATATATTGCAAAACCTAAGCATATTTGTTTTGTATTGTATCACAATTCAAGCCATTTGCTTGGTATTTATGTGTTTTTATGAAGTTTACATTATTTAATAATATGCATGATGTACGTATACAGTGTTGCACTTTCGGACTCCAAACGTTCGTTTATTACGTATGTTCAATACTGTATCAATGACTTAAATTTTCCTTTTGCGAACGACTAATAATTTAAATGTACTTTGTAAAAAACGGCAGTGCTCAGCACAACTTGACAAGTCTTTGTTTATCTCAATAAATATTGCGTAGCAGCAAAGTGACGTAAATCTTTTTATAAAGTGCTCAAATTGACTACACTTCATAAGTTGCATTGAAGAAAAAGGATTATAATAAATTGACTAAAACCTTTTAAAACAAATCTCGACATAATGTACACCATGCAGATCAGACCCTGCATTTTAGAAGTGTTCAGGTTAGACCATCTGTTTTAAAATTGCTTGTGTTTGATTACGTTAATTACTATTTTCTTTGTTAGATGACAGGAGATTAGTCGGAGTATAACTTTTTTCCAGATAAAAATTAATTTTTTTTGCTTCTGGCTTACTGCATCAAAAGTATTGAAACAATTAAAAAAACATCACCATATCCAAGTTCTAATAAAGATTTACTTCAAATAAAGGCTTCAATCAACCTTTACATTAACAAATGTTTTGAGATATATGAGTTTTTTTCATCACATGCCTAAGTAACACTGAATGGTAACATTTGCAGCTGGTTTAATCTGTTTTAACCATTTTGTCACCTTAAAAATTTTACTCGAAGCACGTTATCAGTCAGTTGAAATTAAGATGAGACATGAGGTGATAATGACATCATGCAATCTATTTTTTCAAAGTAACGTTTATTTTTATTCTGCTCTTGTAATCATAAAAACTTCTCAACAAACTATCTTTTGGATAAACTGTCATACTCACGTTTGCACCACCATGCATACACTACCTAAATAATGACATTGAAAATTATGCAAAGAACGGCCACCATCAAAACGACTTGCTCAATAAACTTCAATGAATAAGAATTCCTGTTCATTGTAAGAAAATTACCTCAAAATCATATGGAAAATGAGCCAATTTGACGATGTGAATACACAACGTTCCACAATAAAAAGAAGGTAATTTATAATTTTCATTATGATAAATGTAGCATTAAATTGCTCATTTGCTAAACGATCTTCTAAATTCTAAATTTACAGAAAATTACAAGTTTTTTTTGAGCTCTCTCCTTGCTAAGTATACTGGAGATTACCTCTTCAGTGTGAACATCATTCAAAAGTCCACAAAGATCATTTTCTAGCTGATAATTAAATTTTTAATACTTTTTATTAAAAATTGCATCTTGAAAGTTGCATAGAGCATAAAAGTTTCTGTATCAGTTTTTTCTATTAGAAAATTTCCCAAAATAGATAAGCAAATAACGTTACTAATCGCAAAAAATAAAAACAACGAGTTCATTCATTGATTTCAAAATAAATAAATATGATTATTTGGACTATATTAGAATAGCAAGTTCATTCAAAAATCTCAATGATGATTCAAACTGTGTCTTAATTGATGATTGTTAACTGGTTTAATAACCTTCATTAAAAACTGCGCATGGATCAGACCAGGACATGTACGACATAAGCCACCCGATTGAGCAAGAATAATGCTGCTGATGAAATATCGCTTACAGAACTCAATGGCTGTATCATGTTTTCTCAGATATTGTAACACTGACCACTGTATAGAGGGCCGAAACTATAACATTTAATGGGGAGGGAGCTATTCATACCTTCAGTTGTGGTCGAATAATATATTGTGAATGCCAAATTCTTGTGAAAGTCAAATGAACTAAAAAATATGGCAAGAATTTGAATGGCTTACTTTTATCGTAGTGTTAATAAAATTATTGAAATGGCATGATTCCTTTTCTCCTTGGGTAAAAATTTCACTAAAACGCAATTTTCCTTGATAACTCTGACAAATCATCATCGTCATCATCATATCTTTTCGCGCCAAGGGGCGATCCAAACTCGGGCTGGAAGTTTAGAAGTGTTGCGCGTGTTGTAGCAATCCGTCGAAATCAGGGACGGCACGTGAAGCCTTGCTACTTGTCCCCACTCTGACACATGACAGACAAATTGTTTCTTACAAATAAATCATCATTTGCTGGATAAAATAGTTAAATACTACAAATAACCATATTCAGTTTCGCAAGGGGGAAATGATACCAGCAATGCTACACGAGAATGAGAAAAAACACGAGGTAGAGCTTTAGTTTACAGGGATAAAGATAACAAGCGTCACTTTACTAAGGTGCATAAGAGGAACAGTAGGTATCAGATATCAAAACAACGTTTGAGAGAATAATATTTAGGGATTTGATTGCATTTCAACATTAAAAGTTTGGCAGAAAACATAAGAAAGTTCATCCGGTATGAGGGTGTTTAAATGATCCTGACTTCACCAACTGGAATTCAGCGAGGCGTTAAATGATTTTGGCAAATGGAAACAAGTCTGTACTTACCATCAGATAAGTCTTCTCGAGGAATTTCACAACATTTTGATTTAATAACAGAGCAAAAAATTTAAAATTGAAACAACCAGCTTGGCCTAATTTTAGAATTTCAACAGGAATGACTTGTGGCCTTTCACAAACAGTTGTAATTTTGAAGCTTGAAGTTTTTCCCCCTTTCAATGCCTCGAAATCATTTTACGTTTGTTAAGCGCCACAAGTCGTTCTCGTTAACATTTTCCAATTAGGCCAATTTGTTTTCTTTCATTTTTAAATTTTTGCGCGATTATTAAATTAGTTAAATGAGAATGTTATGAAAATGCTCGAGAAGATTTATCCGTTGATTAGTATTGAATCATTTCCATTTGCCAAAGTCATTTAAAGCTTTGCTCAATCTCGGCTACCGTATCATGCATTCAGCCTCTAAACGACGAGGGTAAAAAACATGCTATCAAAATTTTAATTTAATATGTTCGAAAAATATAAGGTTATTCTTCGACGAAAATCAATAAAATATTTGCTAAAAGAACTTTTTGTAATTAATTTTTTGGTATAAGCTAACCTCAATGTTACCAGATTTGATTGCACAATTAAGAAATTTATGCTATGACTATCATAAGTAGTTATTGATAACGATTTTAAAAAATGCGGTATTAATATGCGTTTCTTTTACCCATGCATGAATTTAATTCTTTTTTCGAATTATTTAAGAATCAAAGTTGCAAGAGTGGAAATACAATGATAAATCAAAGAAGCATAAAAAAATGTTTTCAAATCTGCTTAAACGTACACGCGATGACAGTGTCCAGGTTGAACAAGTGAGTGATGTACGTGTGATTTTTTCGGACGATTTTTGCATCGGAAAAGGAAGTAACGAGACCCGTGTTTTTCTTGGACTGAGAAAAGATGGTTACGGCAAAGCAGTGAAACGAATACGTCGAGACAACTGCATGAAGCTTGCACAGAAAGAAAAAGAAATTTTAAATCAATTCAACGCAAAGAGATCAAAATATGTTGTGAATTATTCCTTCTTAGAAGAAGATACTGGAACGGAGTATGTCTATTTAATATTAGACTTATGTGAAGAATCGTTGGAGAGTTATGTGAAATCTTCTACTTTGGAAGATCTTCAAAACGCTCTTCCCGAAATTCTCAGACAAATTTTGCAAGGATTAGCTGATCTTCATAGTGGCGAAAATCCTATTATTCATCGGGACTTAAAGCCTACCAATGTTCTCCGAGACTCACAAGACAACTTTCTGATAGCTGACTTTGGCATTAGTCAAATATTGAATAAAGATTGTACGACATATGAAAGCAGTCCTAACACAGGAACGGAGTATTGGATTGCTCCTGAATCATATTGTGAAAAGGAAGATTTTGTTGATAAAGGACGGTACAAGAAAGAGTCTGATATATATGTAAGTGTATGTTGCAATACGGTTCTTCATTTGTGAACTATTTAAGAGTGGTCTGTTTAACCCTTAAAATATAAAAAGTACACGTGTTTTTCTTTTTTTGAGCCCGCTGTCTGCGGTGTTCTAGAAACCTAAGGTCCCTGAGGGGGAGAGGGTTTTACAATCTACTACATTATTATAACAGTATAAGATTATAACCATTTTAAGTTTATGCATATCTACATTCAAGTTGTGACATTACATTTTTAATCATTTTAGAATGCAGGAATGGTAACTTATTATATTGCAACAAAAGGAAAACACCCTTTTGGAACGAAACGGCTTAGATTGGACAATATGTTAAAAGGAAACCCTGTTGGTTTGGATGAAATCGAGGATGAAACACTAAAGGACCTTCTGTCGTGGATGTTAAATCTAAAACCTGAAAACAGACCATCGGCTACCGTGGCGTTAAAACACCCATTTCTTATGTCGGATGACGAGAAATTTGACTTATTATGTAAAGTTGGAAATCTTCAGCAGATTAAGACAAATGATCCCTGTGTAGTGTCGTTCAACAATTGAATAGTGAATCCTCAGATTGGAAAAGTAAAATAGACAGTGATGTTTATGATTATTTTAGAACAGACGTGGTGACTGGAAAGATTTTTACATATGACTCTTCATGGACAGAATGTTTAAGACTTATTCGAAATATTAACCAACATTGGAACGATCGACCACGGCCAAAGCCTCAACCAGAACCATTTTATAAGATTGGCGATCACAAGGCGTATATTCTCAAAAAATTCCCTAATCTCCCTATTCGAGTGCATGCTTCTGTGAGGTGCAATGTAGAAGTGAAAAACAATCCAGATCTCAAGAACTTTTTCAATTTCAGTGAAAAGAAACCACATCAAAAATAAACAGTTTTTATACAGTAAAAACAGTTTGTGAAAAGGCAAGTGAACAGGAAAGATACCGTGTAAAATGAAATTTACTCAGATTGGAAAAGACAAATAAATTTTTTACGTATATGATTATTTTGATTGTTGGCTTTTATTGACAGATCGATTGATTGCGACCGGCACTAAAACCATCCATTTTATAAAGTCGATGATCCTAAGGAGTTCTTTTTGAAATCCCAGTTCGGGTACGTGCGGCTGTCTGATGTAATGACGAATTGAAAAACAACCCAGAACTTAAGAACTTTTTCAGTTTTTAATGAAAGCGAACCACAATGAAAAGTTTACTGACAGGAAAACAAGTAAGAAATCAACGATACGGTAGTTAAATGTTTTATTTTATAGATGTAAAGTAGCAAAACACTTTTCACGACGTATTTGGATGATGTATAATCACATTTCTGCATCCAGCTTACATTATTGAATAATATAATATCTGATTATTTAAATTTTATTCTCAATTGCTTTTGTTGAAGACGCATGACATTTAAAGTCAACTTTATAAAATACATAATAAAACTCTTATACGATAGTAAATGGTATTTCTGGAGTTTTAATATTACCAAGATCCCGTTTATTAAAGTATTAAAAGGCAGTGATAATGGTTAATGCCAACAGCACAATTAAATGGACTTAAGCTCTGAATTTAGTAAACATTAATTATCTGAAGAGACTAAACAAAGGCAATTAAAAAAACAAATGAAGCCTTTACAGCAATGAAGAGTGAATCCGGTATAACACGCAGCTTAAAAGTCTGGTCTTGCACCCGTTTCGCTCATTCTAAATGGGTATAACTCAGAGTTCTAAACTTTAGAGTGCGGAAGATAGCCAAATTAGATTTCTTTCTGTGCTATCTAATAATGGATGCGGTATGATGTTGTTGTACACTATTCTACACATAAGGAGAATAACATCTGAGATCGTCGCCATTTTTTTTTCCAAACATACACTAATAATCTATACCAAGGAATTATTTAAATACAATGAACAACAGACTTGAAAAATGCAAGAAACTTTCAAGAGAGCAAATTGATGCTCTTAATTACTATTTTGAGAATGGCATGAAATCTACTCTGTGCTTTGAGCTGAAAAAAACAGCCGCCGAAGAAATGTCGTTGTCTGTGGACAAGGTCAAGGTGAGAACAACCTCTTCTTTAGTCGTCCGCCGTCTTTTAAAAATTTTTCTGTGTGCAGTAAACCAACAACGAAACCAACGCTATCAAATCAAAGCCATACGTATCTCAATCACATCCCTAAATTTGTATTTCTACTCCACAGTATGAAGTTCTACTTTCAACTTTCCTTTTTTTCAAAAATGACATTCTTAAAATGTATTGTGATATACAATAGACATCCTTTATGTACAGAGTAATAGGCTGTGAAACACAGTAACTGGTGCAGCTTTATTGTAACACTTGATGTTATAATGTTAGTAAAATTTTCACAAAATTTGTCTGATACTGCATGTTTTGAAATTATTCAAAAGCTTCTTCACAACTGACATTATGCTTTTTTCAGAAATGGAAAAGCAACAAAGCTGCTTCTGTCAAAAGAAAATGTCAATCTAATAATTCAGAGTCACCCCTACCCTCATGTTATCCACCAAAAGTCCCCAAAACCACCACCTAGATTACGGGGGTCACACGGATATAATTTATTTAGCTCAGAATTTTTTAAATCAGGTTAATGAAATATTAAAATCACATTAGTATCATCAATAAGAGTTAAAGGAATGTTAACCATCAAAAATTTGCTATGATGAAAGCCTTGACAAATTTATCCATGATTGTAGATGAAGTAAAGGGGTTGTGTCACCTGAGTGAAAAAAATAAATTGGCTTCTGTTAAATGAATTGCTCAATGAGAATCCAAGCAAATAAATACATACAGAAAGCTAATGACATTAAAAAAAAACCAGTGACATTAGATGATGCTCAAAGAACAAAATTGGTTGATCAACATATGAAACTTTTAGCTGAGAAGGTAACAGTCGTTTTAATAAATTAATTTTGCAATGAATAGCAGAGGTAGCATTAAGTATTTGGAATAAATTAGAATAGGCTATTGATTGCGGAGACTTTAGTCTTTGGAATTGTACATAATTCATGGTATTTTGATAAAGGAAGTTCATATTGCCTTAACATGGGATGCATTTGTAATAGTGTTATGTTGAGTAAAACTCTTTGTTTGAGCATGTATTTTTTGTGCAAACATGGTTGCAATGATTACCAGATAGAAAGTTATATGATGATCATTACAATAGCATTGATGGTATAGCATTAATTTGTAGAAATAATAATTTTCATAGCAATACCAACAACAACAGAAACTATGTATAGTAAATAAAAAATAATAGCAATAATAATAAAAACAAATGTCATCTCATGCCATTTGTGAAAGTCCATATTTTTGCAAACTATACATAGCTTTTTGCAGTACTTATGCCTAATGTGACCATTACCAATTATTTTACTTTTCTATTAGCTCAGTTACTTGAGGTATCTTGGTTGCCAGGCAAGTTTCTTACTGGTGAATGGGAAAAAAGAACTTTATGTCCTTGGTTCATCAGGAGGAAAAAGATTTGTTTACAATGAACCAACAGTTTTGGGCAAGTTTCAAGCAATGTTTGGTAAAGAGTAAAAAAAGTTTGCAAAGATCACAAATACATAATAGGCATAAAGTTTAAATTCTATTGATATGTCAGCACCAATTTCATTGATACCAGTTACTGGATAGTAGTCAAGTAGATACATATGACTAAGTTTCAGGGCTTTACTATTATGTCGTGTTATGTATGGTTGCAAAATGTTCAACCCATCTCAAAATAGCATATTTCTAACGGTAAATATTAATGTTTTATGCAGTGCGGTGTTTTGAAATTAAATGAAGATATGATCTTCGCACTTTGCTGGACAATTTAAGCAATCGTCTCAGGACCTGAAAAAATCAGGTGACTCAACGGGATTCGAACCCATGACCTCTGCGGTGCCGGTGCAGTGCTCTGACCAACTGAGCTATGAAGTCACACAGTGGTGAGCAGGTCAATATTGTTGGGCTCATGTTTTCTCGTGAAAGGAATGTCGTATGAATGTTTTATGCAGTGCGGTGTATTGAAGTTAAATGAAGATATGATCTTCATTTAATTTATATGAAGAAAATATATTTATATTTTTAATTTATATTTTAATTTCATTTAATTTAATATTTATGGTAAATATTAAGGTATTTTTTGGTATCAGATAAAGTGGTATACGTTTATAATATCATGAAACCGTTCGCTACACCGTGTTTCACGCCTTTTGGCAATTACCAGGTGAATGACAGTTTAGTTGATGCTTTCATGATAGTATTTATTTTACTTTTATAAATTTATATTTTGCTCATTCTATAAAGATATTGAGCACTCTTTTATAACAAAAATTCACAAACTATAACTTTGTATTGACAAGCCTGCTTCGTGATTTCTCACTCTTCATTGAATTCTCTAAAAAGAGTGAAAAATCACGAAGCAAACTTTTTGGGATAAAATTGTAGTTTGTATAGCTAAAAAAATTTTGTATACTATATTTAGGAGATGTAGACCAAGAGAAAAACGGAAATGAACTCATGAAGATGTAAGAATGCTCTTTAACAAGAAGTATAGTAAGTTAATTTTTATTTATTATTGTACGCAGGTCTTCCCCATTGAGAGTGATGTGACCATACAGGTGAAATTTTAACGACCGACGTTCATACAACGTTTATCCGACGTTCATACAACGTTTATCTGACGTTCATAAAACATACAATTAATGATGCATTATTTGTGAAATCATAAAACAGCCTTTCCAATGACACGAACTAAAGTTTAATTTCCGTATAACCTACGTAATATCTTAAAAATATGAAACCTTACCACATGCTGACAAGAAAATTCAAATAAAACTCGCATTAATTTGCTAATTGACTACGCATACATAATAACAACGCTATTCAAAAACTACATACTGTAGAAAAAGTACCATTAATGTTTGGTTGAGAACGTCTTACTGCAGGTGTTATGTTCATAAAACTTGTCGAAGGCGTTTCGTGCGATGAAAGGTCATGCGCATCTGCAAAGCAATCACGTGTTGCAGTTAGTTGTGAAGAAAAAGAAACATTTCAAACGACACGAAATGAACGTAAATGAAAACGTAACAACAAGACATGCAATAATGAATTGTAAGAAAAGCTTGCCTAAGACACCACTCTTTCGTTGAGAATGTCTTTCTCTTGTTGTGCCAGTTGTAGGAATTCCTTGTGAAGAGACGTTGCTTGTATCTGCAGAGAAGACACGTACTGGGTTTAACATATATCTTTATTGAACGCACGAACGTCATTTAAATTAAAGCACTACAAGTTTCAAAAATCAGAAACAGAAAGGTGACTAAAATAAAAACCGCGAGAAAGTTTTATTTGGTAGTTTGATAGCAAACGCTGAGAATTAGATCTGAACGAATGTATTTTGATTAAATCGTGGTGAACACAACTGCAATTTTAACTATAACTAACATTTTTTCAACTAATTACAACAATATTTTAAAGGACCAACGCCTACAGCACCTGTAGAACATACACAACCCTATAATGCAACGATGGACATAGAAAAACAGTAAATGTACAATGCAATGCTAATGTTATTAAAAAAGAATCAAGCAAAATTATTTCAACATTTTAGTCGACATATTATATGAAAGTTGTTGATTAGTCAGTTCTGATGACAGAAAACTTACCACTACGCTGAGATGGTGTCCTACAAGTAGAAGTAGAAGTTATTGCATGATCCTTTGTGTTTAGGATTTCTGGTGCTAGTTCGCCGTCATATAAATCTAGATCAACATTATATTAGTATGAAATAAGAAATTTTATACATGCATGTTTCTGTAAAAAATTGTCCATTTGTACGAGGATTATAATATCGCTTATACCTTTTACTGCAAAGGGAGATCAGTTCGCTGTACACCGGAAAATCTAAAAAGCAAAATCACTCATTAGATTTTAATGCAAGGTAGCAATATGTGAAAAACTGCACTCCTTTGAATAAAGTAATGGCCTATTGTATTGCAACTACAGTACTTACTTCTAGACTTTGTTGATAAGATTTCATTGACGGCTGAAAGAATTTTTGCCTGTAAACAAAAGAAACTGTCTGAATTCTCTAGCTTTCCATCTGTCAACCTCCATTAAACTCCTAAGTTTTCCCACAAATGTAGAGGGGATAAATGGTTTAAGCTCCACCAATTTTTTCCTAACATCCTCTAAATGGGCAAAGACATTTTAGCAGCGCGATTTCCCTTCATCCAAACCATAACAAATTTACGCATAACACCCAAACACAGTTGATGCATGTAGTCAATTGGAAATTGTTTTACCATATCAACAGGCAAGAGACAAAAAGGGCTAACAAAGCGATGATGTTCTTCTTGTATCTGCTTCTAAAGGAAATATTAGTGCGCAATTCCATCTTATTATTTTGAGAGTAAGTCACTCAATCAAGCCACTTCCCTTTTTGTGTACACTTGTCACAACCAAAATAACCAGTACAAAGTTTTGTACTTTTAACAAGTGCTCTTGCAGGAGCATCACAAACAATGCCCCTTACTGTAACAGTCAGAACCTTTTCCCTATCTTGGACTCCCCTCTCTACATTTTGTGAAAGTGCATACATTTTTTGCATAACTTTTAAACAAAGGAAGCCCATCAACATTTAAAGAGATTTTAAGATGATTAATGTTCTTAACTGTTTCACAAGGATGCTTGTGAAAGTGCTTTAACAATTGTTCACCAAAAGAAAGTACACATAATCCATGCCAGAATTTTTCTAAGTGGGAATACATCTTGATGTATGCAACAAAGTGCAAGCACAAATAGGCAAATTTGGATGACCTTATTAAGAGCAAGCAAACCATCAACAGCCTTTTGCTTAATTGAGTACTCATTCACCCAATCAACTAACCCATCTTGAAAAGAAACATTTAAACTATCATCTTCAAAATCAGAAGAATCTGAAAAATGCCTCTCCGCAATGTCTGCATTCACATGGACCAAAGAATCAGCTTTTCCATGGCAAAAAGAAACATCTAAAATATCAACTTCACCAGAAGCAGCACGGTCATTTTCCCCAATATCACAATCAGACCAATAAGACCAATTTGCAAAGAGAAAAAACTTTTTTTAGGACTGGTAACGGTTCTAGCTAATTTTTGTAAAGGTTATGAATGTTCACGGTCATTATCAAAAACATTATTGAACAGATTACTACAGCTTGAAGCTCTATTAGCGAAAGTCCAGTTTTTTCTGTTTTGCGCCTGGTCACATTTCATTATGATACGAACTTTAATAAATAATAAAATGTAACTGTCACTCTATTTTTGATTGATTTAAACATATCCTAATGTTACAACCCATTCCCCCTAATTAAGTGCTGGTGATCACAACATTTAGCAAAATGAATGATAGCACAGCGCTATAACCAACAACTACAAACAATAACGACCTTATCTAACAACATTTGAGAAATTAACCTTCCACTCCTCTTCCTTGTAAACCAGACAAGTCTACTCAAAAGCAGAGAGCCTTATACGCTTCAAGTCCCGGGCTTGTGACTGGTATAGCAGAGTTAAAAGGTGAAAGGTTTATCATAGATTAATCAACTGAATATTCCTGCTCATTTTTGTTTGGAAGCATGTTGAACAGTTCATATGGACAAAGCTCAAATTCCATATTAAATATCAGTAACATAATCCGGTGTTAATGTTAGACAACGCATCATTGCCCTTCAGTGAAAGCATCATTATTGTTTGTAGTTGTTGGTTATAGCGCTGTGCTGTCATTCATTTTGTTTAATAACATTCCAACTATTTAACCTTGTGATTTAGCAAATTGTTTTGATAAAAAAAATTATGAATCTCATTCACAGGTCATGGTAACTTATATGTCTCCTCAACAATTTTTAGCTTATTCTCTTCTTTACATGCATGTATCATACCTAATTTATACATAACCCTAAAATTTTAAGTATAACATTATACTTACTTGCTAACAGCAAATGGAAAATGTTGTAAGCAACTTAATAAAAATAATTTAACTGACATTGCAAGCTTACTAAAGAAATAGGCGAAGTTAATAAACCAATCTAAGAGATAAAAAAGTGGGTTGTAAACTACATATTGCCTTGAATGCATTAATTGGACAAACGATACTTACTAGTATTATAAAGCAACCATGCATTGTTATGAATAAACATTCAATTACCTCTTTGTAAATTTAAATCACTGTTTAAAAACTGCTGTGATTTGCAATAGAAACTACAAGTATTTTAAGGTTTAAGGCTATGTGATTCTTAATCAAAAACATTTTGTAAATCACATAGTCACATAACCCCATGTTGAAAAATATTAATCATCAACGCTTATCAGTCAGTCAGTTAATATAATTCCAGATATGCTAAAACGTGATATTTACGAAACATTTCAGATATAAAACAGAATTTTGACAATGAAATTCATACGATTATACATCGAGAATTCAATAATCTCAAAAAATTGTAATCATTAAATTTGATAAGTAATTTTTGAACTATAAACATCAGTCGCGTGACTCATTTGACATACCCTAGATCCGCCCCTGCATGTTATGACAATAACAACCATACGTACTGATGAATACCATATCCAAATGCTATAGCAAGGTGTAGTGATAATATTATCTTTATAAAATAAAAATAGAAATTAAAACTAAGAATAAACTAAGCTTAGTAATTTGTTTGTTCCTACACCAATATACCCGGACTCATAAAGTCACGGCAAAAGTAACATACGACAATCTCTAGATTATAAAGAATGATAAAATAAAGGTACTTACCACAATTTTTACGCATTGAAACATACTTTAGATCATAACTGCCTCTAAACTTGTAAAGCGAGCTGTACATTATCTTGTCTTGACAACTATTAGGCAAATTCAATTCTTGCACGAGCGATTTTCAAATGAACACGAACGCCGATATTTTACAGGTATCGAAATAATTTTGATGTCAAATTGATTTAAAGAACTTGTGTTATCCATAACAGATATTTGAGATGAATAAAACATCGCCAAATGTCTTAAATATTCGAAAATCCTTGTTTGTAAACGTTATCCGCCAAACATTTCTATAGTAATTTGTATCTCTAGTGGGTGACTTGAAGTGCATTTTACATATATAATTAGGCTTCACATTTAAAAAGAAAAGCTCAAAATAATTCGCGATTTTGCTGCCAAGCAAGAAACCCGATGTAGTGTTCATCGCAGAAACATAGCTTGCATGATACTTGTAATCTTGAGATATCTGAGTATAACATTGTTTATAAAAACAGAGCTTTTGAACCATATGTAGGTGGTGTATATTTCTATATATAAAAAAATTTATTCTGTTTACGGACTAATTTAGTTCGACAACGTTTGAGGCTTTTTGGGTTAAAATTATGCCAATCAACTAGTTATAAACTAATTACTTAATTCAATTAAAGCAATAGACATTTTTATTTTCTTGGTGTGAAGTCGTTTTGATTTGTGCGTTTTATAGACTTAACGTTTGTCATCTTACGGATCAATTCTGATTTCCAGAAACAGCTTGAAATATACCTAAATGATACAACCAAACATCGGACATGATCTTGACAAATCTTTATAGTTTCTACAATAAGAATTCTATATCAACTTTCCTTCATTTAATTTATCAGAATATAATGTAATGTTATCTTATCAAGGCTTAAGATTTACTTTTCCCAACATTTAAGCCAACGAACGCCTATTTTGCCTTATTCAACTTAATCAAGCAAATGAAACAAAAGTTTCACAATCTGATATTGTGAATTTTCATGTATAAGACCAACTCTTAATGATGGAGCTAAGGTTTTTTTTAACAAACTCCCAAAATACGAAGGAAACGGTTATAAAATTCAAACATGTTAATGAAAACAATAAAAATCATAAGGCCGTATCTTTGCTTTACTTAACAATAAACTTTTAATGTTTAAAAGTAAGTTGCACAATATAATTTGCCACGTATCAACTCAAACAACGCAACCATTTAACGCTTTACTTTTCAGAACGTTAAGTGATTTGAAAGATCGAATGTTCAAAGTTTTGAGCCATCAACTAGTAAAAGGTTTGTAAGACTAAAGATAAAGAATTATCGTGTGTGTTAACGATCTGTAAATGAGATCTTAAATAAAAATTGCTCGTCATATTTAATTGATAAATTTTTAATAAATATTGATCACACCCAAGTACTAAAAAATATACATCATACATACCCGTAGCACTTTGCAATCCCGTAATTGTACACAAATCAAAGCAAGCTACAACTACAAACATATTAACTGCTTACCAAGAAAATTACTGCCATTTATCTAAAATAAAGCGTGTTTATCATGACGTGTTTAATTATAATTTACTTTATGTTTATAAAAAGTGGTTTTCGCCTTTTAGCAACGTTATTATTTTGGAAATGTAGCTTTTCTTTAAATGTTTATCAATAAACCCTTTATACTAAAGATTTCAACAAGCACAATTTAGACGTTCATGACATATAAATGTGCAATGATATTGTGTTATTCAACAGGCAAGAGTACCACTAGTATAAAAATAAAACTAACATATCGAGCTGTAGTTTTTTACCAATCGCTCTCAAAGTACCTTAAAAATGGTATAATGTAATATAATTTGCACTTCTCATTTCTGTTGATGAATTCGATCCAAATTAAATTCAAATTTATAAAGAAAAACAATTAAAATCATAAGGCCGTATCTTTGCTTTTACATAACAATTGACTTTTAATGTTTTAAATTCAGTTGCCCAAAATAATTTGCCACGTATAAACTCGAAGGAAGAAGCCATTTGACGCTTAACTTACCAGAACGTTAAGAGATCTGAAAGATCGAATGTTCAAAGTTTCAATCGTCGACCAGTAAAAGGTATGTAAGACAAAAGACAAAGAATTATCGTGTGTGTAAACGATGTATAAATGAGATGCTCAATAAAAGTTGTTCGTCAAATATATTAGTACACTTTTAATAAATATTAGTCTCAATCTAGTACTATAAAATATACATCATACATACCCGCAGCAACCTATGATCCTGTAGTTGTACACCAATTAAGCAAAGTTACAAATACTGTCATCTAAAGGAAGTCGTGTTTATCATGATGTTCTTGCTTGCTAAGGAATTCAAATTGCTTGCTAGCATGCAATTATATTTATCTTTGGGTCCGGACGGTATATTTATAAAATATGTGTTATTTTATTATACTTGTGATAGTATGAAATGACATTTATGAATCAGGAAGAAAATTTAGTTTGAAATTGCAAATGGACTCATGCATGTCATCATTGAATATTTTAGATACTTAAGTCGCATTAGAAATAGAAATATTGATCAGGAAGTATGTTGTCTTTGTGCTAAACTAGTTTGTAAGTCCACATTTTAAATGAGGCTAAAGAATTTGCTAATCTTTTTAACGTTACAATTGTCTTTCGTCAAGCTTTGGTTGCGAAGGTTAATGTATGCAAATTCATCGCATTATAGTTACAATAAATTAAAAACAGATATGAGTTTTGCAACTTATTAATTCTTTTTAACACTCCCACTTTATGGTCGTATCTTAAATTAAACGAGTAAAAGTTGTGAAATCTGACATTGTAAATTTTAGTACCTTGTGTATGTAGCTGAGGTTTATCACCACGTTCTTACTTCCAAAATATCTTAAAAACGTTATAATTTAGTAAAACTTATACTTATTTCTATTGATCAATTTGTTCCAAATTATATTCAAACTTATGAACAAAAACAATAAAAATCATAAAACCATATCTTTGCTTTACATAACATTCTATTCTTAAGATGTTTTAAATTCCGTGGCACAAAATGATTTTCCAAATATCGACTCAAAGGAAGAATATATGATGCTTAAGTTGTCAGAATTTGCATCTTTCTAAATGTTCAACTGTTCAAGTCTACACGCCGTTAACCAGTGAAAGGTTTGTAAGACAAAAAACAAAGAATTTTCATGCTTGATTACGACGTATAAATGTGACCAATGGAAGTTTGTAAACTCTGTAATTGTAGATAAATCAAACGAAGTTACAATTCCAAACAAGAACAATATGCTTAACAAAAACAAATCACTGCCATCTTAAAGAAGGTAAGGCTTTTTTTAAAGTATATTTAATTATTTATGACTCACCACGAAATATATTTACTTTGAAATCGCAAATGGACTTTCTGCCTTTCATTAAATTAACCAACAGACTACTGCGATCAGATTAAACCGAGGAATGTATTAACAATAGAGTACAAAGCTTAAACCATTAGCCGGAGCGAGATACAATTGATCTTTTATCACTTGCGAGCACGCATTTGAATAATAACTTGACTTTTTGTTACGATTCTTTTTATAGCTTTTTTATAAAGTTTGTGAAGTGTAAGAGTTTTAATAATTCTTATTTCATAAGACTTTGCCTTTAGATGATTCCTCGCCGATTGCAAATTACTTCTACTTGATCTTCCGTTTTCCGGTGTACGAACGCACAAATGAGCAATGAAGACATCTAGTTGACAAACAACTTAACATATAGCAAGCTTACACAAACTTGAATGTTAATAATCAATAAGCCCTTAATAACCAAGTGTGAGGTCTTTACGGAGAAATATCGGACCGAAGTTTTTTTATACATCCCGGCCCGTAGGGCGAGGTTTGTACAAAAAACAAAGATAACGACAAAACTATAGAGTTTCACGACAAAACTCTGGAAATTCGAAAACAGTTGTTATATCCAAATCATGTTGATGTCACTGCCTCTTTGAACAATCTTGGTAATGTGTATACTAATACTGGAAACTACCCCCTTCCCCTCAATTAACTTTCTATTTTTGCCCGTGTTCATGTATGTTCATTGATTTGAAAAATTAGTATGCTTGTAAAAATCTAGCATTCATGTCATAAACGTTTAAAAAAGAAGCCAAATTTTTGGGTGTTTTTCTTATGTTCACCTTCTTTAGTCACACAATCCCACTACCATTGTGAATACAAAACATCAACATATGGTCACTGTGTGGTAATTATTTGCTTTTGACAGAGAAGTGTTCAAATCTAAATACAACGGATAGGACAAACATAAGTTTCTAAATCTAATACTTCAAAGGAAAAGAATGTTTGGGTCTTACAATTTGCAGGAATAAAGATGACAGTGTTCTTTAAATGTAACACTTTGTCAAAGGAAGAGTGCTCTGTTTAAACAAATATTTAGGTAGTTTGAGCGTTTAGGTATGTCTGGAACTTTCAAAAACTCAAATTTTTGTCTTTGCTTTAAAAATTAAAACTTCTCAGCAAAGCTATGATTTTGGCCGATTTTTGACATTCTATTTAAGAAATAGAATTTCTCACACTGCCACCAAATCTTTGTGTTTTTTCGTACTGAAATTCAGATATGTAATTTATAATTGTTCCTATCGATGTTAACCTAAAACCTTTCAAATTTATGTACTTTTTGCGATTTAGAATAGATTTAAACATCAGCGAAAATTCCGTAAAATATTTATGCCGGTGACAACAAATTAAAATGACGGAAATGCGTTGCAAGGTTTTAATTGCTATTTATGTTTTTGTTGTTTAATATCAAAGATTTTTACAATGAAAACTGTCTTATGAAGAGTTTATTTGTATGTATGGTCTTTGAGACGAACTCTGAGCATCTGAACGATATTTATAGTTTGTAGCGGATGTAGTCATCTTAAAGACACGTAGACAAAGTCAAAGTAAGCCAAAAATTTTATACCTGGATAAATTGATCATTTCGCAAAAGAACTGAGTGGCTAAAGAAAAATCAGCAATTTCTCTCTAAATTACAATTGACTACTAAGTTCTATAAAATACGATGCAAATTCAATAGCATGTCAACAAAGGCGGCGTTAGCTTATTGATCGATATTTAGACTTGCATAAATTTTTGGAGAGTATTTAATTCTGTTTGGAGAAAAATATAAATATTTACTCTCCATCTATTAATTGGTAGCGGATAGGAAAGTAATAGATATACGGAGTAAGAAAAAACATGGCTGCCGACATTGCCGTAGTAGTATAGAGAGTACCGGTTCTTGTGCACTTCACAGTTTGAGAAGGAGTATACACAAATCTAAGCGCCCCAGCCCTAGTTCACGTACGTGATTAACATACATAGTAAGCACATAGTAATCACATAGGTGGGCACAAAAATCACAAGACAGTGAAGGCCAAACCCAGGACAACGGCAAGAGCCAAAGTTGGCCCACCCACCCCCAGCGCCCGCGCGGCCGGCCGTCTGGGATCTATTAGTTAGTACTCGTCGAGAGGGTTCCCTCGAGGACCGAATCCAACATGCGGAGGTGGGCATCTACTCGTTTCCTCGCAAGCTCAGATTACACAACCAATGATAGCATCTTCTCCATTGACGTTCGTATAACCCAGAGAAAACCAATCAAACATATTAAAGTAAATACGGGATACAATACGAATAATGGCAAATGCAACTGTATAGAAATTAAAACTAATAGTAATGATCCAGTCAAAATCTTTCTCCCAACAATCATGCTCACAAATGCTTGTCATATAGCTAATAAATTTGATGAACTACATGGAGTCGTCATGAATAATGGTCCTGAAGTTGTACTGATTACAGAATCCTGGCTTTCTCCAAATATACCAGACACAGCAATATCGATTCATGATGAATACAAAATATTTCGCAAAGACAGACCCACCCTTGGCAGAGGAGTACTTACTTATGTACATCAAAGTATACCTGTTAGTCGTAAGTTATTTGATGAAGACAATGATAAAGAGGTGCTATGGTTAGTACTTAAACCAACAAGAACGCCTCGCCCATTTGGTGCAATTATTATTGTCATTATTTATTATCCACCTGGACAAAGTGCCGAAAAAGAACATGATATGATTGAATATCTCATCAAAAATTTAGATCAGTTACTATGTGAACGTCCATCCTCTGCAATTATAGTTGCTGGAGACTTCAATAAATTAAACTTGACTAATCTATGTAATTGTTTCAATTTAAAAAAATCTATCCTATACCCAACCAGAGGAAAAAACGTTTTGGACCAAGTCTTGACAAATATGCGAGATATGTATAAACCAACACAGCATCTACCACCATTGGGACGTTCTGATCACAATTGCCTTCTATTAGTGCCAAAACAGAAAGAAAAAACACCAACAATTCCCAGAAGGGTAAGACTCTTAACACCTGGAAAAATAAATGTCTTATGCACAAAACTTATTCTTGAAGATTGGTCGGAGGTCTTCGATGTAGATGAAAAAGTAAATGCTTTTACCTCGACGATGCTTAGTATTATGGATGAAACTATTCCTGAAAAAACAGTACGAATGCATACTTCAGATAAACCTTGGATGACAAGCTTTATAAAATCAAAGATCAAATCCAGACAACGTGCTTTCTCATGTAATAATCAAGCACGTTATGAAAAACTATGTTCTCATGCCTCAAAACTTATAAACAACGCCAAAATTTCATATTACAAACGAAAAGCAAACGACTTTCGTACGACTAACCCTAAAAAATGGTATAAATCAATCTTCTTAATGTTGGGAATTAATAACGGGAATAATGTAAAAAGAAATGTCTATGATGAAAATGTACTGGAACTAGCTGAAAAATTACAACAAGTCTTTACAAAACCTTGGTTAAACCAATTACCCAACTACGAAATTGTTGATAACTTGATCAACCAAACGCTTAAGGATATTAAACCTCCTTTACCATCTATTGGACAGGTCAAGAGCTGTCTACAGCATCTAAATCCTAAAAAAGCAACAGGTGATGACAAAATTCCGGCATGGATACTTAAACGTTTTTGCGAAGATCTTGCACCAGTCGTACACAATATAGTAACCACAAGTATAAAACAATGCAAGTACCCCAGCCAATATAAACATGCACTAATAACTCCAGTTGCTAAAGTTAATAATCCAAGCAATGTTGAAAATGATTCAGACCTATATCTGTCCTTCCTCAAATGGCTAAAGTAATAGACAAACTTCAACTCCATTTGAATAAATCAGATTTCAAAATAAAGAGTAACCAACATGCTTTTACTCATGGCCGATCTACTGTATCTGCTCTAATATCTATGACACAAAATTGGTATAATGCAACAGATAATTCTCAATTAGGTAGAAAGGGAGTTCACGTATTATTTATAGATTTTCGAAAGGCGTTTGACATGGTGAATCACAATATATTACTACAAAAATTAGCATCTATGGAAATTAATAAGCCTTTCTGGCAATGGATTCGAAGTTTTTTGACAGGAAGAACGCAACAAGTCAACCTACAAGGAGTCATGTCATCCATCCAACCTTGCCCTTTGGGCGTGCCACAAGGCGCTGCCATATCACCAGTGCTCTTTAATGTATATATAAATGATTTAGAGGATAATATTCCTAAAGAAATAGATGCTAATACATGTAAATATGCGGATGATTGCACTCAGAACCAGATTATAGAATGAGGTGAATGCAGTTCCATGCAAAAAGTAATCGACGAATTACGGAAATGGGCTGATAATAACAGAATGGCTCTGAATCCGAAAAAAACAAAGGATATGTGGATATGCTTTACGGACTCAATACAAGAACCACCCTCCCTATTTATTGGAGAAGAAGAAATAGAAAGAGTTACAAATTTCAAACTTCTTGGCGTAACATGTCAAAATGATCTTAAATGGAATGAACATGTACACCAAATTACAAGCAAGGCAAATAAAAGACTATATCATCTTCGACTTTGTAGGAAGTCTCAATTACCTTCAGATGTTGGATTATTAACATATACATCAAAAATAAGACCAGTATTAGAGTATGCATCGGCAGTCTGGGCAGGACTTCCACATTTTTTACAGCAAGAAATTGAACGTGTGCAAAGAAGAAGTTTAAAAATTTTACAACTAGATAAAAACTACTTGCCCTCTTTGTAAAGCAGACGTGAACTAGCAACTACCCAAGAGATGAAAAGGATTATAGAGGAACCTGATTATCCATGCAAATTTTTAGTACCTTATCCCAAAGAAAATTCGCACGAGTTGCGTAAAAGCAAAACTTATAGTTTTTTATCCCGGACCAAACGTCATAAACAATCTTTTATTGCTAGATCTAGTAAATATATATATAATAAAGTTAACATGTAATTCTTTGTATAGTATGATAAATATATAGAAAATCAATGTAAATTCATCGTACTTTTTAATCTGAAGATGAATAATAAAAGCCTTTTAATCTCTTTTAATCTAATCTCAGCTCAACTTGCCGTTGGAGTTCCTCGGGAGCTGCCTGGAGGAAGCGGTGAGGCCATCCCCTAAAACTCATCAGCTCCTCAACTAGCTTTTCTTGGTGCCTGGGCGACTCGACATGCTTACATAACCATTCCACATACCCGCCACTGACAGCACCGCTGTCGTCACAAAGGCGGCAAACCAATTTCATAGCTTTGCCAACCAACCACGCGCGACCATGCCGACGACCATTGAAATGCTCGGCTAGATTCACGGCGCGCATAGCGCTAGTTTGACATGCCAAAAACTCCATACCAGCGACGGCTATTTCATACACACCGTTTAATTCAACTACTGGTGTTCCTTCGCAAACGAAAGAAATGCTCACCGCAGTGATTTATTATGATCATAGCTCCCTGGAAAACGCTGAGAGAAATCTTCCGTAGACAAAAACTCCATAACATCATTGTGTACGCGGTGATGCAATATTCGAGCAGTTTCTACGACAGCTTGGGTCTGTAGCCCCTGGCGTGGATGGGGTAATGAAAACTGTCACACCAAGACGCAACACAGTCAATGGCGCACAAAGGTTATGTCTAGCATGAATCACCATCCGCCACTTGACGCTGGACTTTTTTCAGAGCGTCTATGCGCCCGAGCTGAATGCCCTACTCACGCCCGCTCGCACGTGCAGCGTTCAGCTGTGCTTCTAGCTCTCGCGTCTGTTCACGAAGAGCTCTCTTTGTCTGGCTTCTAATGTCGTCTTTCAACGAAGCGGAGTGCTCTGCTTCGCCCAAAACGGGCTGGTACTCACTTTCGCTGCAGTTGCCATCTCGAAGCGCTCGGCTCATGATCAGCGAGATTGTTCGGAGCACGGTATCAGCGGACGCCCGAATACGATCGTGTTTTTCAGCTTTCTTCTCCAATCTACGGCTCACGACCCGACCAGCGAAAGTGGCCGTGCTGCAAACAGCTGCTAGGCCTTCGAGCGCGATCCCGACAGGAGTTAAGACGACGGTACTGAGTACGGCCACGCTTCTAACAGCGCTGCCCACAGTGATAGCAGACAGGGCATTGCTCGCGCCGTCTAACCCGTTCACAGCTCTTTTGTAGTTTTTGTAGAGCGTTTTGCGGGCTTCCATTTCCGTGTGCAAGCGAGTTTCGACCTATGAAATCTTTTGTAATCGGTAGTATTTCCAGCATCGCTCGCAGTAGGCAGCGTAGGATAGAGAGGCGCCGTCGACATTGGAGGCGAAGAAAGGGGCGCGGAGGGCTTACACGAAGTCATACTGCTCCAATAGCAATGTCACTATAAAACCAACGGTAGCGTCTGTTGAAGAAAACCCAATAACAGCCCCCGCGTCAACCTTTAATGCAGTGTCAAAAACTGTGAAGGCTGAGACCTGCCGCGTAGCTTGCGCACTTCGAAAGTTGTCTTGACATCGTTCACCATCAGCCGGACTGTCGCAACATCGTTTACAGCAGCCGCGATCCCCATGCGAAGCACTCGACTCGGTCTGAATACCGGGCCAAACGGAGACCATCTACCGCCCCCCCTCTCTGCCTGCAGAGTAATACGGAACGACGCCATCGGAACGACGATACTCAAGTCGCTTGGCGGCCTGAGCTTGGGTGAGAACAGCCTTCAGCTGCGTACGGGTGGGACGGTCAAAAGTGTATTCCCATACAGAGATCAAGCTCGCTGTATCTCGTTCGGCATCGTATTGGCAGCGGAAGCGCGTTAAATTCGTCACAGGAGGTCTCCTTGCTTGGAGCCAAATCTCGACTGCTTGGGTCATACCCAAATCTAACGCCATGCTGATACGTAGTATCAGGTGAACTCAAGATAATACACCCTGTAGGTACGTCTTCAATTGTATCCGAACGTGCCCCTTTGGTTCGAGACTGCCCGCGGGATCTTGATACAGTTAGTGAGAATGGAGGTGCCATCACCCCGCCAGAAGACATTGAATCTCCAACCCCAAGCATCTTGCATTTCACCGCTGTCCAGATGATACCACTCGTTTTCAGCCCGCTCAATCCTGAGACTCTGAATCTGTATCTTGCCATTCTTCAGATTTGCACCCTCCCCAATATGCGTCACCACAACGTCCTGTCGTACGAGATCAGGCAGCGTTCCTTTAACAACTCTCAGTAAGGCACCCAAACGCTCATCAAGGCCATGGAGGTCGAGCTTGTTTACCTTCAGCTGCGCGACAGTATGAGAGAGAGTGCCCTCGGTATCCTCATTCCCAATTTTTGTTTCGTTTCGCACCACAGCATCCTGCAAACGAGCAAGCTGGTCCTCCTAATCACTGAACACCGAAGCAGCCGCAGTCTTCTCCCAAGTGGTTACCCAAAATGCCATGTCCATAAAACATTCAAACAAGGCCTCGAGAGTTCAATATATCAAGACACTTGCTAGTGATGCGGCTCCCGTTAATGAGGAGCGCAATGATAAAGGCAGCATCACTAGTCATCTTGCCTCTGACGCTTCCAGGCATAAAATGACGACCATATTTTATAAGTTTGCTCTCGGGGGCTTTGGAGTAGGTCTCAAGCAAGGCCACCAAATCGCCGAACTTCTGCCCTGACCCCGGGACCGCAAGAGCATGCTATTTTGATCTCCTACAACTTCACGTCGCCAGGCGAAACTGGGGATGGCCGAAGTCGACTACGATGTTAGCGAACACCTCAGAGGGATACCTGCTGAGAAACTGTTGATTTACGTTTTTCACAAGCACGCGATAGTCGGCCATGATGGCGAAACGCATATCCTGATCCGCCTGAGCCTCGTTGAGATTTGCTTCAAACCCTTCAAGGTTTTCCGTAAACAATTGTACCAGCTGCGCACGCGGAGTGAAATAGTTGCTTTTAAGAAAGGCATCGGGAATCTTCTGACCCGCCAGAAAGCGGCCAAAGACGAGCAGCAGCAAGCGATGGAACTCCCCCTCTTTTCGAGTCTGGATAGAGGCGCGGTTGTAGTGACCACCGGTAGTTGGTTTTTCAAACGGACATCAGCGACGCTGTCGCGAACTTGGCCTGTATCTTCAGAATAGCTCATCAACCTGGATTTGACCGTGCTCAGGACCGACTCTTCATTGATAAGCTCAGGGTGGC